AGCAGTTTGGTTTGAGTGCTCGGTTGCGCATTGAGTGACAAGCCAACCCTGAAGCGATGCCCTATGCCAAGGCTGCTCAAACCCTAAGGGAAGCACAAGTTTTTCCCCCCCCCCCCCCCCCGGTGTGTTGGGAAAGCTGTCATTTCCGAAAATGGCCATTGTGTGGGTCAACTTGGAGAAGAAACAGAATAAGTTGCCGGAGGGCATGTGGTCCATGTTGAGGCAGCGACAAGCCTTGAAGCAACACGTTCAGCTTTTGATCTTAGCGACACATTGCCTGATCGAAGCAGAATTCAACAAAGTGCAGAGCTTTGCCATCATCGAATTGTGAGTGAGCTAAAAATTGTAAGATTGTGTAATCGATTTACTGTTGATAGCCCTGTCTGGTGGCGGCTTCGCAAACACCAAGTATGTGGCGCATATTTGCAGTGGCACACACCATGGAACCGCAAAGAGTGGAGTGTGCGTGTCACGAAAGGCAGAGTCATGTGACGGGGGTCTACCAAAAATTCCAGGCCGCCAGTCGTCGACCCCGTCGTCGATGCGGATTGGGACGAAGACCTTGGGCTTCATCCTAGCAGCCCTCTCTGGGATGGTGTCACCAAGCTCATGATCCGTGGCTCGCCAGGCAGTTTTTGGGCGGGCGAGTGACCCCCAAAAGCCCAGGGCTGTTGATGTGTCCATGAAGTTTAAGAGGGAACCACCTCAAAAAGTGATTGGACATGAATCCCCACCTAAACAGGGTCCCTTATTAAAATTCATACCCATGTTGGCTCAAGGGGAGTTGCTGCCATGTGAATCCGCGCATTCACTGAACATTCTTTCAAGTATTTATCACGGGTTGAAGCTTCACCAGCTGTGAGTGTTGGGCAAACTGGATGGTCACAAGCGGGACCTTGGCTGTCGAGATATGGAGTATTGACATCGGTTAAGTACACGGCCATGTTCAAAGTAAGCACGTTCAATAAAGAAAATGCAACGGGGAGGCTGGCTGCTGCATATCGAACAAATATGTTTGGCAACAAGGTTGGCGCCTTGCTCAAGCTCTTTATGTTGACTAAGACTGGTAAAGTGACGTGGGTATTCCCTGTCAGTCCATGCAAACTGCTCAGCTAGGCAATGCTCACACTCAACCCCCTCCAAGTCGCTTGGGCAGTCAAGACAATCAGAATGCAAGATGCTAAGTTGGTGCTTCCTGCTCTTAGAAGGTGTCACAGCTACCAATGGTGCGCTTTCACCGTTGGAAAACTGTTTGTCGCACCAGCCATGTTCAGTATATACAGCTGTCTGATGGATCCTCTTTACCTGCAATGCTTCCACAAAAGCAGACTGTCAACCGACACATTGTTCTTTGCGATCAATCTTTGGGTTGAACGTGTGAATTCACAGATTCATTGTTGTCGTTGAAGCACGAACGGCGCGTCGCGGCGCTGTTTCAAATCATGGCCGCAGCAGTCACGCAGGTACCAAGGATGGATTTTCTTGTTCACTTTATTGATTTCTTTCAGGTTGCCCTGAAAGCGGGCCGGGCTTGTTGATCTTGGGCACATAGCCAGAATCGCAGGCTTCAATTCAAATCAGCTGGAATGCGGGGGGCACTCTCCTGAGTTCCTTGAAGGTCAAAGCCGTGAAGGTCGGGTGCGAAGCCATAGCCATGAACCCAGCTAAAGAACTGGGCAAAGATTCGATTTTTTGGCCTACGTGTTTTCTTGTTTAACTTGGAGCATTCTCGCTCAGGGACCTGCCAGAGTCCATCAGAGTCTAGACTTGATAAGACTTCTGGTTGGGTGTCGGATCAACCTTCTCGTTTAGACAATCGACGCTGTTTTCAGGGGAAGGGTGTACAAAGAGTTGACCGACACATTGTTCTTTGCGATCAATCTTTGGGTTGAACGTGTGAATTCACAGATTCAGTGTTGGAAGCACGAACGGTGCGTCACGGCGCTGTTTCAAATCATGGCCGGTCACGACTTGAACTTGACCACAGTAGTCTCTGGTTGTCAGGCAGGTTTGTCAAAACGGCTGGGGTGTCACTTACATTGACAAGGACAACAGCTGTTGGTTCGTTGGTTGAAACAAAGCCGGTGTTGAACCAGCGCCGGTTTCAAGGGGCCTCTGTTGCAGCCTTCCTCTTGAGTTGCGGCGGGAATTCAGACATTCTAGAGATCAGGGAATGCCCAGTTTCATCATGTTGCTATTTTGGAGCACCCTCTCAGCTAGGAATGCAACGACACCCTTGCAACTTTCCTCGGTGACCCAGGCAACATCCCGGCTCGTTGCAGTCAGAGCGAGATCTCAGCCCTCATTGCCTCAGACGCACGGAAGTTCGAGGTTCAGATGCCCCGGTCTTCTGAGAAGAAATGCAAGGGCTATGCCTTTATCCAGGTGAGCGAAGCTCAGTTGATGAAAAGACTTGTCCATGACTTGTGGGCAAAATGCGTGCCTTCAAGAAGGAGCCAAAGGCCATTGAAGATTCATCCTGCAAAGCTTGTCACCATGCAGTATCAGTGACATCCGGCTCCAAGTTGGTCATCCAGGCTGGATGCGAGCCGTCCGTGGCGCCTGCCTTGGAGATTCGTCCACTCTGCTGGTGCCTTCAACATTCGAAGATCTTCGTTAGTTGCCAGTTGGCAATTCGCCGTGTTTGTCTTGTGCAAGGGTTAAGTTGGTACTTGGACGTCGCAGAACAGACCGTTGTTGGATCGGGCATGAGAAGCCTCGGCAGTTTGAAGGCACCAGTAAACAGCGTGGTAGGACCAGATGTCCAGAACCTTGGTATTCTGATAAACCACTGGGCTTAGCTGTCGCGAAGTCAGGCAAGGCAAGATGGGAAGATGTAGAAAGTTTGGATGACTCGCAACAGACTTGGGATGCACTGCCCTAACTCCCAGCCATTGACTTTCCTGGATCTTCAGCCGCGGCAGCCCAGCTGGTAAATTGTGCCCAGCATCCGGGCTGAATCGCTTCTGCCCACGCCTAGCGCGCCTAGAAGCGTGAACGCGGCGAGCGAGCGAGTGAGTGAGAGAGTGCTACTCCAGAAGCGGGTATCTCCTGCTGGTGGCCTATGTGTGGCTGATGTCTTCATGTCACGTTCACCCGTTCACCTACTTAGAGCTTGTTTTGTGTCATGTGGTTTAACCTCATGTGCATTTAAAAATGGCAAGTGGCAAGTCAGTGGAAGAACGTGTCAGCACTGCTAGCGTGAGCAGTAGCAACTGCGGACATGGACCGATGCAGGCATTCCGTCTCAGACGACAACAACGAGTGCTCCGTGTGTGCATAAGGTGTGCTTGCAGTTTGACACTCGTGAGCAGAACATGGAGTCATCAAACCTCAAACTAGTTCGTGTCAATTTAAGCTTTTGATCGCCAGAAAGTTGATTCAATCCTGGTCCTGTTCAAACTGTGCTGGACTCATGCCCCATCGCGAAGTTCTCAAGAAGGACACATTGCTATGGTGGCATTTGGCGGTTCAGTTGTCCAATTATTGTCAACCGTCAGCGATCCCCAGTGAAACCATGCAGCTTCTCATCATAGGCTGCATAGGATGCAACGGCGCTGCTTGAGGAAAACTGCATCAGATCGCCTCGGGATTTGTGCTTGTGAGCGGATTCACGGGATCGGGTCAAAGGCCTGTGGAACATCCGGGGATAAGGCAAAGCTCCCGGTGAGTCACCGCGTTGAAATCTGCTGACTCATGAAACATGGCATCGAGGGCCTCTCCAACTTTCTCATGGGGCCGGGGAATATCCGATTGTCCCATGTTTGAAGGGCAATATCTTGTCAAGCTTTGGTGTGCATGGCTGTTTGTTGCCGGACATGCTGTTAAGGCACGTCAGGGGCCTGTGGTGATACGCATCATTCTTTACACGCCACCGAATACTCCATTGTCCTACCCCGACCTTACCTTTGGGTTTTCTGGTGCTCGAAGTTGACTGTGTTATATTTAGGCAAGTGAGAATCAGGGTAGAAATTGGATTTATGCATTTCAAAGCTGACGTACCTGAATCAACTACTCGGAAATGGAGGGATAGATAGGTAGACACGGACACGCATGTAAATAGATAGATGTATGCATTCCCACATGTTTTTTTTTCCCAATTACTTGTCTAGGAGGGCCTAACTGCAAGTGGCACCATACTTGCATGCGTTCTAAAAATCATGAGATCGCATCATCTAGTCATGGTCCTTCTTCGTGACTGGTTCAGTTGGGATGTAGGCCAGTCCACGCAAGGAAGGTTTCGAATTTTCCATGTAGAAAAGGTTGCCTCGCAAACAAGCAAACCAATGGGTTGTTGCCCCGTGTTCCACCATGGCAGAATTGTGGAGTCTAGACAACGGTTTGGATGTGGCTTGTGCGGATTCGCCCATGAAGAATATTAAAAGAGTACGAAACGATTACTAAAAAGGACCAACACGGGAAAACTACGGGACATCCACAAAAGGCGCATCCACACTGTTTTCCAGATGGATCTATCAAGAGAGTTTCTCTGCCCAGTGTGCATCAAGGGCTCCTCAGCAGGTACAGAGAGGCAGGTGTTCCAGGTTGCAAGAGGATGACATCCTGAAGCATTGACCAAGGGCTTATATATAAAGTGATGGATTCCCAATACATTTCACTGCCGCTACCCCGGTAGACTTTAGCCTCCCTAAGCATGAACACCGAAACCTTGTTCTAAGTGTGCTGCTGCTGATCGGTCCTTGGCATCGAGTGGATTCTCCAAGCTTGGCCTAATTTTTTTAAGATGTGGATGTCAGTTGCAAGGCTGTGCTTCGACCTACCCCTGAAAAGCTGTTGCAGGGTCAGCCCTTCATGTCATTAATATGGGCGTGTCTTGTTTAGGCTTCCTTTTGGTTTCCCTTTAAAACCACCCCCCAAAAAAAAATACCTGCCAAAAAAACAGACTCATGTCTTTCCACGCATTCTGCCTCCGGAGATGGTCCCAGGACACGTTTCCCGCAGATTCATGTGTGCGTGGGCTCGGCCCGAGCAGAACCGAGGCTGACAGAGGAAGTGGAACTACTCTTGAGCTCCGCTGCGTGCGCCGCGGGTCTCCCTGCGCTCGAGTCGGGGATGGGGGACATCCGCCAGGCGTTTAACACTTATCATATGTGGGCGTTTCTGCAAACTGTCATGTCCTGATTTCAGCATAGTGCTCATCATGAAACGGATCAAGGCTTCCTTCTTCGGATAAAGTGTGGGATGCAGCGCTCTTGCTGGGTCTTGCAAGCTGTAGACTGGTGCACTTGTATTGCACAACCACATACAAGACTCTAGACTCTAGGATCTTCAATGGTGCCATCGATTGCATTCAGAGACATTTTTGCTTTCAGCTATCCCATCAAGCACCCCCAAATCTGTTTGGTTGATGAATCATTTCAAACCTGTCATGGTCAGGTCTAGTTTGGCTAGTGTCTTTTCTTGTCATGATCGGGCGAAGGATGAAGGTGATAATGATGAGGAGGAGCAGGAGGAGGAGGAGAAGGTGGGCAATTGCTGGTGATCATACAGAAGAAGGAGAAAGCAAAGTCACATGGAAAGTTGCTTCTGGCTTTGGCAGTTAAATCTTGGGTTTCCAGCGCTCACAGTGGAGGAGACTGCCGCCATTGATTTGCATCATACATGTCTGACGCTTGAGAGGGGACGAATCATATCCTTCAGTGTTCATTCGTCCGTCAAGTGTGGGGCCCGTTCGAACGGCAAGTTGCCTGCTCAGATGAACAGCTAGATGGTGTCGTCACCTTTATTTGAAACCTTCCCCTATCAACTTAGCTGCCATTTGTTGAGGACCAGCGGCAGTAGCACCTTCGATGAGCAAATCCTTCTGGAGCGGTTTGCCGCCCAAGAAGCAACCTGAGCAAACAAATTGGTGATTGATTTTAGGGTGGCCTGCAAGATGTCAGCCCAATGTCCGATTGGTATTGTCTGGTAGTGTTGGATTGGCGATTCAAGATTTGTTCACACTTCGTCACAAGGGCGAAACAGATTGCTGAACCCTCAACACATCGCACCACTCCAAACCCAGCCGTACCTCCAAACCCGGCCTGTTTTCTGAGTCCTGGGAGGCCTTTTGCCCCCCCCCCCCCCCCCGCACCCCCCCCAAGACCCCCCAACGACCCCCCCCCCCCAGCGGCCCCCGAAGGCCCAGGAGTTGCTCGCTGGAGGTACCTGGGAGCGGATCGCCTGAGCCTCGCTGCGCGGGCGCTTTTGCAAACGCTCAGCTCCCGGCAAGGCGCGGTGGCCCGACTGCGTTGTGCGGTTTGGGGTTCAAAGCGGCAAACACCGGGGGGGGGGGTCCACAATTTCAAGACATCCCCGCCTTGATGTATATGTTAGAAGCGCCTTTGTCATCTTTTTGGGATGTGCTGTTCAATGAATTCAGTCGGCTTTAGGTGTTCCAACTGATGAGTCCGGGTGAAACAGACACCCAGAACAGAAGGCCAACCTCCTTCTTTTGTGTTCGAACGGATTTGTCAACTTTATGAAAGACAGGGTTTAGATGCTGCATGAGCCAAGTAGTATGATTGCAGATGGTCCAGTTGGTTGGCTGGCTGGGTTAGCTGGCTAGCTAGTTATCTAGCTACATGTAAGTCGTTTTTGTTTTGGTTGGTTGGCCAGCTAGCCAGCTTGTTATCTAGCTTAAGTAATAGCTAGTTAGCTCGTTTCCTAGGCTAGTTGGCTATCTAGCTACTCAGTTGGCTCGTTAGCTGTAGTTTGCTCGCTAGCTAGTTGCTAGTTCGATGGATTGCTCCCATTTTGTTTTTGACAACACGACCGGACCCATAAAGGTCCTTTTCTTGTGTATTTTCTTGGAGGTTTTGGAATTGTAATACAATTTGAAGCAATCCCTGGCTAATCATAGTGCTCGCTGGTGTGCTCTTCTATTCGTGCTCCGTGTCAAGGTCAGACAGAGAGGCTCATGCAACCTCTATTTGCCGAGAGCTTGTTAAACATCATCTCAGACTTGCTGGCATGTTTTCAGAGTGATTGCATGAGTCGATGAGTGCATGTTGACTTGGATTGCTGCGTCAAAGTGGGGCAAGCATTACCAGTAGCAACTTATGAGTGAACCCATGAAGTGCCAAGTTGTACTGCCTGGCAACCCACCAGGGAGGTTCCTGGGTGTTTTCGTTTCTCTCCTTGGCAGATATTGCGCCTGTATCCCTTGCAAGGCGGCAAGCTTGCCAGGTTATTTCATGTTATTTCGCTTACCAGCTTCCGTGACCATGCTATGGCTATGCAATAGCTACAACATCCTACAGTGTATCACTCTGCGGTCTGAAGCTCTTATTGGCTTTCCCAAGTCAAGCTGACGTCACACCAGTCTTCCGCTTCTCAGCGATGCATTTCGCAACGTGTTTCCTTTACGCAGGCAACGAGGCAGCGTTGTGCGCGACGCTGTGCGAGCAGGCATGAGGGGAGTCTGCTTGAGTCGTGATCATTGGCCAGTCTCTCTCAGTCTTCACAGATCCCATGAGTGAATACGCTTGTTTTGGACCTCTCTAGCGATGGTTCACAAATTGATAGTGGACCGGAGGGTCTGCTGCTCAGTAAATGTTGGCTCAGCATTTTTTCAGCGACACGGATCAAAGTGAATACTGCCAAGCAAAGAGGATGGCATAGGGCCTTAGCGGTTTGCCATCCAGTCAGAGTCACACTTCATTTTCAACTTGGAACAGGACACTCTTAGATGAACGCATGCACCAAATTGGCGGCTCGTGTTTTTAGCAATACAGCAGCCCTTGAGTGGCTTCAACCGGGCCACGCACGTGTATATATATATATACATATATTACATATAAATATATTCCTCCCGCCCAAAAAAACCACGCCCCAAGAGAATTTCACGGTATTTGCAGTAATTTTGCGCGATTTCCACCCCCTTTTCGGGCACTCCAATTTTGAGCATTTAACTATGCCCGCATCTGCTGACATTTGACTGTCACTGTATCCACCTAAAACGCTTGAAAGCCTTTAAAGCGCTCTTTGATCTAAGATTCAAGACTTCCAGGACTCAAGATCTTGAATCTCAAGATCTCGAATCTTCAATCCAGTATGCGACCCCCCAAAACGCTTTAAGCACATTTGGATCTAAGATTGAAGATTCCCAGGACTCTAGATCTTGAATCTTGAATCCAGTATGAAACCCCCAAAAACGCTTCAAAGCGCTTTAAAGCACTTTGGGATCCAAGATTCAAGATTATCAGGGCTCTAGTTCTCGAATGTTGAATCCATGATCAAAGCGCTTTAAAGCGCTTTAAAGCCTTTTGGGAGCCCCATACTGGATTCAAGATTGAAGATCTAGAGTCCTGGGAATCTTGAATCTTGAATCTTTGTTCCAAGAGCGCTTTAAAGCGTCTGCTTTCAGTCATTCCTGTTTGGGTGTGCACCTTATTATCCTTTTCGCCTTGTGCGCGGTAAATAGAGTTGATAGTTCAGCATATGGACATTTGATATTTTATTTAATGGCTTACTTAAACAACTCCACACCAACCCTCTGATATTGAAGAAACACTGTCATCACCAGTGTTTAAAATGCTGGCTAGCAGGTTTTGTTCAGGGATGTTCAGGGACATTAGTTGTTTTAGCGTGGCATTGGTCAGTGATCAAATATTTTGGTGTTGGCCAAGGTTTGTGAGCTGACAGACGAACGGGATTGGCAGATGAGTTGAGATGAGAGACGGAGGATGCGTAGCAGATGTTTCGGTCTTGCCACAAGTTGACAGACGAAGAGGATTTGCACACCAGTTGAGATGAGAAATTGAAGATGTGTAGGCGAAGCAGAAGCGGTATGGTTTGCCTTTTTGCTTGCTAAACTTGCGCCGGTACCCTCACAGAGGAGTTTTACAGTCAATTGAGCGAGGAGAACATTAGCGATGAAAACTATGCCAAAACAACAATAATTTGGACAATCACGATTTCTATTTTATAGCAGCAGATGTGTTTTTCTTGGCTGACATTGTCGAAAACTTCAGAGATGTATGTATGACACATTATGGTCTAGACCCTGTGTAATATGACACGTTACCTAACTTCGCTTTCACACTGTACCAAACTTTGCTTATGATTCTAACTGTCCGATTAACTTGTGTTGAAATAGCTTGAGTGTATGACTACAATGCGTATGAAATGATAAGAGAGAAGATCAAGAGGAGGAATACTGCAGACCATTTGTTCAGAACGCAGAAGGCCAAATGCTATTTATATGTGTGGCAATTTCTTAATGAATCATCTGCGAAAGTCTGCCAAAATTGTGAAATGAACCCACTTTAAGTAATATTTGTCGAACATGACTTGACCCCCTTACATAAGCAGCAGGCGTTTTTTTTTGTTTTTTTTTTTGGGGGGGGGGGTGAATAAGCGACTATATATATATATATTATGAGAGGGCGTAACTGCTGGTTAAAGCTTCAAGTAAAGCAGGGGTGGGGTGAGACTCCGGATTCTTACCAGGCTCCATAAATAAGAAACGCGCATTAAATAAGCAACCGCTTTTTCCAAGAAGGCCAACAAGCCTTTGCTATGTTATGGCACGATTGCAGACATTAGAGAGGGTTGGGAGATGTTCACGAATGGTTTTGGCCTTTCTGGGTGGGAACAATTTCAACAATTTCTGCTACCCCGATCAACACCCTGCGCAACTCTAAGTCTCGGCCTGCAACAGCACCCTACAGAGGCACCCTACAACAGCATGTTGGATCTGGGCTTGCAGAGGATTCCTTTGCGATTTCGCATGGCGCTACGACGAGAGGGCTTGGGCGAAGATCCTGCACAGATTGCGTCGCCAGCTTTCAAAATCGCACGGCATACCGAGGGCGCTTTGACACGTGCGCTCCTTACAGAGTGTTCATGAGGCTCTTTGCGAATATGCACGGCTCCACAGGCAGAGCGCTCGGGCGCGCAGGATCCGTGCAAAGGGTTCATCGGGCATTTTCCAAACTCGCACGGAGTCGCACGGCGTCACGGCGAGGGCGCTTTGGAACGCGCGATGCTCGAAGATGGTTCGTCAGGCACTTTACGAACTCCTGCGGAGAGGCGCGTGATCCCTGCAGAGGGTTCCTCAGACACTGCGCGCGCGTACAGCCCACGCAGCAATTACTGTTGCTGGTGTTTGTGTTGCTCACCGTCCCGGAGCAAGCGTGTGGCGCCTCCATTTGTGGCTGTCATTGTAACGGACATCCGAGACATCCAAGGCTAGCCCAAGTTTTGTGTGTAGGCCTCCCTAACTGCTGCGGCTGTCTAGCGTGTTTTTTTGTTCTTTTTTCCTCCGGCTTGGACCCTGAAAAGCCCGAAGCACTAGAACCTCAAAACCTGAAACCAAAAATGTTAAAAAAGAAAAAACACAAAACACACAACAAATTACGGTGGAAACATAACCTACATGCAACACAACCTCAACCTGAAACCCTAAACCCCCAAAGATCCCAAAAACTGAACATCGAAACCCTGAAAACTCCAGACCCTGAACCCTCAAACACCTAAACCTGAAAAACATCCAAACCCGAAAGAAAGCCTTGTGGCACGTTGCAAATTGGAGCGTGTTGGCGATCTGTGTCGCTAAACTGCTTTGCGCTGTTGCGCTGCTGCGCTGCTCGCTGCTGCGCTGATGACTTTGCGCCGCTCTGCTGTTGCGCTGCTGCGCTGCTTTTCTGCTGCACCGCTGCGCTGTTGCGCCGCTGAAGCCGCCTCCGTTGACGTGCGCCGCTGCGCCGTTGAGCTGCTGCGCCGTTCCGCTGTTGCGCCGTTGCGTCGCTGCACCGCTGCGCCGTTGCGCCGCTGAGCCGCTGCGCCGTCGCGCCGCTGCGCCGTTCGCGGTTGCGCTCTTGCGCTTGCGCCGTCGCGCTGCTGCGCCGTTGCGCCGCTGCGCCCTTGCGCCGCTGCGCCCTTGCGCCGCTGCACCGCTGCGCCGTTGCGCCGCTACGCCGTTGCGCCGCTACGCCGTTGCGCCGCTGCGCCGTTGCGCCGCTGCGCTGTTGCGCCGTTGCGCGTTTGCACCGCTGCGCTGTTACGCCGTTGCGCGGCTGCGCCGCTGCACCGCTGCGCCGCTGCGCCGTTGCGCCGTTTTGTTGCGCCATTGCGCTGTTACGCTGTCGCGCCTTGGCGCATTTGCGCCATTGCGCTGTTACGCCGTTGCGCTGTTGCGCCGCTGCACTGCTGCGCTCCGCCGTTGCGCTGCCGCGACGTTCTGCTGTTGCACCACTGCGCTGTTGCGCTGCCGCGCCGTTGCGCCGTTCCGATGTTGCGATTATCCTACCATATCCTACCATATCCTGCCGTATGCTGTCCAATCCTGTCTTATCCTACCTTCTCCCATCTTCTCCTATCGTATCCTATCTTCTTCCATGTGTCTATCTATCTATCTACATAGCTATCTATCGAGATATCATATCTGTCCTATCTTTCCTGTCTGTCCTTTTTGTCTTGTCGTATCAAGCCTATCTATGTTGTCCATATTACCTATCTGGTCTATCTGTTGTGTCTTATCTGCCTTGTCTATCATATCGATCATATCTATACTACCTACCTTATCTACCTTACGTACCAAATCTTATCTTATTATACATTATCCTGTCTTATCCTGTCTTTCCTATCGTATCCTGTATTGTCCTATCTTATCCTATATTATCCTGTAGTATCCTATCTTGTCGTATATACCCCATGTTGGCCTATCTTGCCGTGTCTTATCCTATCTTAGCCTATCGTATCCTTTGTATAAATCGAATTATCTATCTATAATACATCTATCTATACATCTATGTATCAGTCAATCCTGTCTTGCCCCATCTTATCCTATCTTACCCTATCTTACCCGACCTTATCCTATCTCATCCTACCTTACCCAAAATAATCCTATATTATCCTATCTTACCCCGTCTTCTCCTCTCTTATTCTATCTTATCCCATGTTATCCTGTCTTATCATGTCTTATTCTGCATGTCCCTATCTTAACCTATCTCATCCTATGTGCCTATCTATCAATCTACCAGGTTATCCAGCTATCCTATCTATCCTATCGTTCCTATCTATCTCATCGTATATGTAAGTCTTATCGCTCTTATCTATCATATCATATCTACCTTATCGACATTACCTACCTTGTCTTGTCTTATCATATGTTACCGTGTCTTACCCTATCTTAAGTTATCTTTCCTGCTTTGTCCTATCTTATCCCATGGCAGCCCTCGCATCCTATCTTACCCCATATTATCCTACCTTATCCTGCCTTACCCTATCTTGACATATCTTACCTTATCTTACCCAATCTTTTCCTATGTATCTATCAATCTATCTACCTATCTATCCTGTCTCCCCTGTATGTCCCATCTTTCCTATCTATCTCATCGCATGTAGCTTATGAATCGTTTCTATCCTACCTATCTGATCTATCTTATCTCTTACCTGCCTGATCTATCTTGTCTATCATGTCTATCCTATTTATCTTCTCTACCTTGTCTACCTTACCTACCTTTACATTATCCTGTCTTGGCCTACCTTAACCTATCTTATATTACCGTATGCTATCTTACTCTGCCTTATCCCATCTTGTCCTACCTTACCCCATGTTAGCCTATCTTGCCGTGCCGTATCCTATCTTATCCGACCGTAGCCTATCTTATCCTATGTGTCTATCTGTTTATCTATTATCTATCTATCCTATCTATCTGATTTTCTCCTAACTACCATATCTACCCTATCTTTCCTGCTTGTCCTATTTATCTCATCGCGTCTATCTTATCTATTTGTCCTGTCTTATCTACCTGATCTACCTTACATGCCTTATCTACCTTGTCTATCATATCTATCACAAATATATATATATGTGTGCTATCTACCTTATCTATCCTAGCTGCCTTATCTGATCTTATCACAAATTGTCCTGCCTTATCTTATCTGAGCCTATCTTATCCTGTATTTTCCCGTCGTATCCTATCTTATCATGTCTGATCCCATCTTATCCTGTCTTACCCCACGTTGGCCTAGCTTACCGTGTCCTATCCTATCTTGCCCTATGTACCTATCGATCTATCTATGTTATCTCTGAGACTGCTGGGGCTCAAAACACAAGTGATTGAAACATATTATTAACAACAAAAACGCAGCGAACACCTGCGAAAACCATGAAAACGCGAACACCGCGAAAACGCGAAAACCGCACAAACATCGATTTTCTGGGTTCTTTGGGCTTTCTCGGTCTTCTAGGTTCCCTCTGTTTTCACGGCTTTCTCGGTTTTATCGGTTTTCTCTGTTTTCCAGTTTTCTTGGTTTTCTCGGTTTTCCGGCTTTCTCGCGCAAATCCGGTTAGCTCCGTGTCGCTCAAAACGATTGCTTAGCAAGCTTGGCTGCCATCAGGTTTTCGCCTTCAAGCAAAGGAGGCAACCTACCTTTCTTTAAAGTGAGGTTTGCCCTCATAAACATGACATTTAGGCTGCTCATGCTATCTGAAGTACTCGGGAGTCAGTTAGCGATCGGGAACTCAGCTCTTAAAACGACCAAACTCGGTCTAGGAGAAACGGCCAATCGAGCGAAGCAACGGAGCAACGGAGCGGGGCAACGCAGCGCAGCAACGGAGCAACAGAGCAACGGAGCAGAACAGCTTTGCGGAACAGCGGGGGAACGGAGCGGAGCAACGGAGCAACGGAGCAACGGAGCGGAGCAACGGAGCAACGGAGCGAAACAGCTTTGCGCCACCACGGGGGAACGGAGCAGAGCAACGGAGCAACAGAGCGGAGCAACGGAGCGGAGCAACGGAGCAACGGAGCGAAACAGCTTTGCGGAACAACGGGGGAACGGAGCGGAGCAACGGAGCAACGGAGCGAAACAGCTTTGCGGAACAACGGGGGAACGAAGCGGAGCAACGGAGCAACGGAGCGAAACAGCTTTGCGCCACCACGGGGGAACGGAGCAACGGAGCAACGGAGCAACAGAGCGGAGCAACGGAGCGGAGCAACGGAGCAACGGAGCGAAACAGCTTTGCGCCACCACGGGGGAACGGAGCGGAGCAACGGAGCAACAGAGCGGAGCAACGGAGCGGAGCAACGGAGCAACGGAGCGAAACAGCTTTGCGGCGCAACGGGGGAACGGAGCGGAGCAACGGAGCAACGGAGCGAAACAGCTTTGCGGAACAACGGGGGAACGGAGCGGAGCAACGGAGCAACGGAGCGAAACAGCTTTGCGGAACAACGGGGGAACGGAGCGGAGCAACGGAGCAACGGAGCGAAACAGCTTTGCGGAACAACAGGGGAACGGAGCGGAGCAACGGAGCAACGGAGCGAAGCAGGTTTGCACGACACGCTTTGCCAACGCTCTGGCAAATTGTGATGTTCCGTACGCGTGCTACTTGTTACACGCTTCAGAGTTTGAGGGCTCCAAGCAGAAATTCAAGTTTCACTCTTGGCCTTGAGCAGGCCCGCGCTTGCTCGGTGGAGGCCGGAGCGACCGGGTTTTGCGGCTCCTTGGTTGGGTCCATCCGATCCATACATGCACAGTGCCCGAATTTGAGGCCGTACTCTGGAGGGATTATTCACAAAATGCAAGCTGATTAGGCAAAGATTACCAGTGTTTTGCAATGCCGACTTCTCACAAGTTTTGGCGAGTCTCTGGCCCGGTTTGTTGTTCTGCGCGAGGGCTAGCTGGGCGTTTCGAGCTGAGCTTGTGTTTGCTGGTGGTTGCTCCTCGGAAGCCAGCCAAAAAGGAGCCACCTTGATGGCTTGCCATTCTTCCTTGAGCCATTGACGCCTAGAACGTGCCTGACCACAGAGACCCCCATACTGGAACCCACCTGCAAACACAATGTTGGCCGACCCCTTTGGCACATCAGGGATGCCCCAGCATGGCTGCCGTGTACTTGCCCATGGCTGCATGTTCTGGCTTCCGAGTTTCCCGCGCCCCGAGCCTCTAAAAACGAAGACTTTGGGGGCTTCGCGCTCCGACCAAGGCGCAAAAGGTCACAGAAAAGCAGCCCCACTGCGACCGCGCCGCCTCTGACGACGAGTTGATGCCAGTCCTCGAGGCCGGCGAGGGATTTGCCTGGATGTGGCGACTTAGGCTTGTTTCAGTATTGGTTCGCTCTTTATTCCGACTGCGTATTCTCCCTCATCTGTCTTTGCTTTTGTCGTTCGGTTGCAGTGCTGCTCGAAGAATAGGGAACTTGGTAGCTCCCAGCCATCCCCTTAGCTTTTTAGCCTTCTAGTGTGTCGTGGTAGTTTCCATTTAACCCACTAAAAGTTAAACTTTTAGCGGGGGATCTGAGGGACTCTCTAAGACAGGGTACCATGTCCTGTCTGCCAGTGCGAATTGAATGTGTTTTTTGTTGGAACCTTCCTCTAAAGCAGCTCTCTCAGACTATGTGGTTCCGCCAAGATGTCATTTGCTGTGCTCCGATCTGCACCATGCGCATGACACGGAGCTTCTCAATCGTTGGCAAGCCACGACAGCAGGCTCTGACCTGGAAGGTCGGTGTTGCGGCCAAGAGGTAATCGGGCGGCTTGCATGGCAAGCATTCCTCAAAGACACTCCCTCCTTATGAGCACATGATAACTATTCTTTGCGGTTGAATCCTTTTCCACGTCTGACCTTTTGAATGAACCTACGCGTGCTAATGATACACGGGAATCCTGAATTCCCTGAGTTTCTCAAATTCAGAACAGTAGCCTGCATGACCTGCAGACAAGACACTCGAAACGACGGACTTCACGCCTTGACCGCTTCCCTGCGAGGGTGTGGCGGAGAAGCAGCCCAGGAGATGTGTGCAGTGCCCAAACATCCTAGGATCAAGGCGACCTAAGCGTCACTACTTAAGATTCCAAATAGTTATGGGATCGCACTTTTCCAAGGTGACTTGTGGTGCATGAATTGCTTGGAAAGGCAGTTGAGGGACGGACGTGCTTCAGCCGCAGTTTCTTGACCAGTTGGAACGTTCCATCCATTGATCCTTGCCTGTCTGTGTTTCTCATTTATTGGTATGCACTGAACTATTGGACTGAACTATTGGAGCCAGGAAGTGCAACGGCTGCCTGCTCCAATGATCCAAAAGTTGCTGGCTTTGGCGCGGGCCCCAGCAAGATGTGTGCTTTAGCCAACTCTGATGCTGATGTGGGTGTGTCCCTTTTTGTAGGGTGCCCCCGCCTTGTTGTGGTTTTAAAGGGAAATCAACAGGGAAACCCGCCCAATCCCCAAACAAAAGACACACCCATGTTCTCCAGACCAGGAAGTGAAACATATGATGAAAAGCAGCATTGAGACTGAAGTTGAAGCACGGCAGCTTGGAGTTTCCCCTGACTCTGGTCAGTTTTCATTGGAACTACTCTGCTGCTTGTTTCTTTGGTTTGCTGGTTTTCGTTTGCTCCTTGTAAGTGCTGCGTTTCAAAGCAGTTTGTGAGTAGGAACCAACAGATTGCCCTTCCCATCAAACGAGTGCCAAGGGTAGAGGGTTTGACGGGACAGGCATAGTCTGAGCTGCATGCCGCATGCATAGAAGCGGAGATTGGCACACCAGGAACCATGCCCGCTCAATGCGCCTTGAGTCCTGTGGCTTACGCTTTGGCTTCAAGTCGAACCTCTCGTTCCTCAGTGTGTTCAATGCCAGGAAGTTCGCGTTCTTTGAAATTTCTTCGGTGTTTTTTTCTTCACGTTTCTGCAAGATGCCAGCGGTTTTGCTCACTGATTTGAGGATTCTCACCCAACCTCCTCACTGGGATTCTTTGCATAGGCCGCCTCTGTTTGGAAGGAGGTCACACAGCCACAGGCTCGTGAGCTGCCAACGTGTAGCAAGCGACGCGGACAGCACCATGCGGCCGGCGCGGTCTCTTTGCGCCGCGGCGAAGATGAGCTCGGCGCGCGCAAGCTCCTTCCATGACCTCGCGGAGAAGGCCGGGGCTGTGGATGTGGCTGTGGGTCAAAACCAATGGCATCCCATCTTGGGGTAGGTGCACCACCCATTTTAGAACCTATTTTGGTGGGGATTAAGATGTTCACTGGGGGTACGGGATTTTGACCCATGACCATGTGAGACTCCGAGGTTCAAATTCGGAATTTTAAGTTCAGAGGACTGCGTTTCTGAGCGACGGCCACTTGAGAGCAGCCAGGCGAATTTTCGAGGTGAGCTTGACAATCCGTTCCACCGAGTTGAGGGCGATGTCGAGCCCTGATACCATTTCTAGTTCATGCGGTTCCCTCCTAGTGCTTCCTTCTGGGAGGCTGATAACTCAGTTTGGGAAAGCAGAATTTGGGACCCTATCCGGAATGCGTGCAGTTCCTTTGCCCTGCTCTCTAAATGGGAGCAATTACCCTCCCCAGGCTAACATGGAATCTCCCAGGACCCGTTTGAGGTCGAACAGAGAGCCAGTTGAGCCACAAAACACGAGACGTATAGGGGCCGCCAGCGTTCCCCTGACACGGATTGCTTGCAAATGTGCCCCATGCTTGTTGCGTCTGTGGAAAGGCCTCCAACGCCAGTTTCAGCCACGCAGGGCTACACGGTTTGCTCATTGGGCGCCAGTGCAACCGTCCGGGACATGGAGCAGGTGGCGTTGCGGCTCATGGGCAGCTTGGAATTAAATCTCCGGCTTGACGCCGTTGGCACCAGTGTCCTGAACGGATCCCCTTACACCTGAGCTCAAAACCATGCTTCCTTTGTATTTTGCCTTTTGGAGTTTTCAGGCATGGGGTAATGAACCTGATCCCGCTGTCAGACACGGGACCTCTAGCGCCTGATGGCTCGTTTGATTTGTCCTTTCGGGACCGTTGTCTAGGTTCATCCATGTTTAACCACTCCTGCAACCCAATGCACCCCAACCAACCACCCCAACCACCCCAAGCCCAGATAGGTGTGAGTCCCTCCGGCACGGGCAGCTACAACGGCCGGGGCGGGGTGGTGCGGCAGAGTATCGACGGCACCGGCTTCGTGGACTCCGCGGCTGGGGCGCCCAAGGCGCGCGAACTTGGAGTACCATGGGTGGCTGTGGGTCAAAACCGTTTTGGGATCCCATTTTGAGGGTTTTCGGTGCACCACCCATTTTAGAACGGATTGGGATGTTCACCGGGGGTACAGGATTTTGCCCCATGTTTGGTTGGTAGAAATTGTGATAGCCACAATGTTTTGGTTGAAATCGTTTTGGTAGAAGTTGTTTTCATGCTGTTTCATGATCTACCAGGGCCATCTGTTTTTTCTTCTTTTTTTTTTCAAAAGGACAGCTGTGTTGAGTACCCTGAAAATCGAAGTGCTACTCTGAAATCAGCCTGAAAAGTACGAACATGAAAGTACTTTGAAAAGGACGTTTCTTTTTGGGAATCCTAAAAGATGACACTTGGAAATGGGTCAAACAAATGGTTACCATGTCTCAGAGGCTTCCCTGTGAGCTGCGGGGAAAAGAACCACATTTGCAAGCACCCCCAAAGAGTGTGAAGAGGAAACAAGGACCGCACATCCAGAGTGCTGTCAGCACGTGACAAGAAGAGCCAGCAGGAGGCATGACGCAAAAAACACTTGGCTTGTTTGCCAGAGCTCTGTGCAAAGTCCTTGGTAGGTCTTATGCAAGATCTCTTTCCGGAAGATCCTGTACAGCTGTTAGAGAGGATCTCCATGAAAGGTTTAGCACCATCTCTTGAGATCTTTTGTAGAGACCTTTTTGAGTTGTTTACAAACTCTCGTGCAATATCTCTTTACAGGACCTGTGTGCGCAAAATCTCTTTGACGTTAATGCCACAAGTCTCTTTCTAGCATTGTTGGATCCTTCACAAGATCTCTTGAGAAAACTGTTACAGGAAAGTTGTTAAAGGTTCGCTTTGCATGTTCAACAGTGAGAGCGATTGCACGCAACCAAAGTCCGGAGAGGTTATCTTTCGTATTCCGCCTTCGTACCGGGCCAGCACTCAGACGCACCCAATTCCCGAGCCACTTCAGTCCCCTGTTTGGCGTTGTTCCCATCTGATGGCTGAATCTCTGAATGATCAACCAAAATGTATTGTTGCTGCCAACCCCAGTGTCACTGGCACGATGGGAATGTTTTTTCTCATCAAACTCTCGACCTGATCTCTCGATGGGTCCCATCAATGTGCCCATGGCAAGTGTTGTGGAAACCTCAACTCGTAAACCTCGAAGGGCGCCATTCGCTCGGGAAATGTCCTGCGAGGAGCTGCAGATTCAGCACCTCGGAGACGGTGATGGATGCCCGAAGTTATTGGGGGGGGGGATTCGCCGGGATCTTTCGGAGCGTTTCATCCCCTGGTGAGCCAGCTAGAGCACTAAACATTCTGTCATTCCGCAAGCATCAAGTAAAACAAGTAAAGCAGCCATAGAATAATGCAAAAACTGGGGAATGATGATGAACCATCAATCATCCCACCCAAAGAATACGCAATTGAACTCGACGCAAACGTGTTCAAAATCACCATGGAAGGAAATCTAGTTTGGCCGCCTGTGAAACCTCCATGCACACGTGACCAGAACTACGTGGTATTCTACTAATACCAAGAGTACACCACAACTATGAAGTACGTGGAACGTACCTGTGCTGTGCATTTGCTAATAGCTCAGATTTTTCCATCCGCATCTACCGTGCGGATGGTTTGCACGGAACACGTCAAGACCCAAACCACTGCCCCGAGACCTGTAGACAGAGAGAATTGACCCACTTTGGGCATGGGGAACTCAATAAAAAAGCGTCCGATCCAATGGCAGCCGAACCCGATCTGGGGTCCGTGCGCCAGAACCGACCAAGGCTCCCGCATGCTCCCGCTTTTTTCTTCATCCTTTAAAACCCGATGTCAGGTTTTGCCGCTGATTTGTCGGGTTTTAAGTGGCTGAGGTTTCACAATGAGATGGCTTACGCCACCGAGTTCCCAAAGTACGTGACCTTCGCCATGGTCCGCCAGGCAGAAGAGAAAGGGACCACCACCTTGGCGGACAACCTGACGGTGCCCTGGCAAAAAAACTCCTCGGCCAGAACCATGTAGTACGCAAGGGAAGCTTGGGAAATTCTGACCCCCACTCGCAATGGCACTTCACGACCATCCCAGATCTTCAGTGGTTTCTTTTTGACACAGGTGAATCTTGTTCTCTCTCTGGCAGCCACCTTAAGCTACTGATCTGTGGACTGAGCCCAGGATGGGGCTGTGGATTAATCAAAGCAAATTCTGCGCCCGTTCCTATTTGGGTTGCCTGCACTCTTCATTGAAGCAACCATATTTCGAGGCTGGCATGGACATGGTGATCTTTGAGCTCAAGAAAGGCCTTTTCAGCAAACACATGCCTCATACTGGCATCAGAAACATGAACATGTGCATGGGACATGCCAGTGACTCTTTGTCAGATCTTCCTTCCGGGCCAAGTCACCAAGTGAGAGTTTTGTTTGTCCGGCCGAGGTCCAGAAGAAGCTCTCGGCCGGTCTGCTGGCGAAGTTTCGGGACCTCGGGGTGCAGTACGTCCGCCTGCTGCACGACGAGGCGGAGAAGGAGGCAGCGGACTTCTACAACTCTTGGCAGGGCGCCTTCCAAACGCAGTCCGTGGAGGAGGCCCGGGGCTTCAAAAAAAAGGGTACCTCAGGGATATGGATGTGGCTATGGGTCAAAATCCAAATCGTATGTGCAGTGAACATCCCAATCCAACCACTAAAATAGGTTCTAAAATGGGTGGTGAATTCACCTAACCCAAAATGGTACCATTGGTGTTGACCCACGGCCATATGGATGGCTGAGGCATGCATGTTTGGTTCACAGTGTCCGTATCCTCCCAGGCCATGCGAAAAGGCAACAGCAAGTCCACGTTTTCCATTTTGCAGCGGCACGACGAGCGGCGGCTGAAGCACACACTGTGGTGCCCAGTCTTTCAAAAGCACCCCACGCATGGGGAGCTGTTCTTCAACTCTGTACTGAACCGGCACGGCTCCTGGCGCCTTGACTGAATCTATGCACATTTCAGGGATATCCTAGCTGGAGGTCCCTTTGTTTGCCTTCACAGCTCCAACACTCTCAAAAAGCACAGACACAGAGAGAAGCGCAGAGAGATGCACGGAGAGACGCAAAGAGAGACATTTGGAGAGAGAGAGAGAGAGAGAGAGACAGAGAGACGCACAGAGAGACACAGAGAGAGGGACACACACAGAGAGACACAGAGGGAGAGAGAGAGAGAGAGAGACACACACACCGAGAGACACAAAGAAAGACGCACACACACACAGAGACACACAGAGAGGCACACACAGACAGACGCACAGAGAGAGGCGCAGAGAGAGACAAAGAGAGAGGCACAGAGAGAGAGAGAGAGAGAGAGACGGAGCGAGAGAGAGAGAGAGAGGGAGACGCAAACACACACACACACACAGACACATAGAGAGACACACACACACAGGCACACGCACACAGACACGCAAACACACACACACACAAAATAGAGAGACAGAGAGACACGCAGAGAGTCACACACCGTGAGTCACACACACACACAGACACAGACACACAGATACACACTGAGACACACACACACACAAAGACATACACACACGGAGACACACACACACACACACGGACAGACAGGCAGACAGAGACAAACGCAGAGACACACACACACATACAGACACACACACACACACAAACACAGACACAACTACACACACAGACACACACACACACACCCACACACACACACAGACACAGACACACAGATACACACTGAGACACACACACACAAAGACACACACACACACACAGAGACACACACACACACACGGACAGACAGGCAGACAGAGACAAACGCAGAGACACACACACAGACACACACACACAAACACAGACACACAAACGCAGACACAACTACACATACACACAGAGACACACACCTACACAGACACACACACACACACACCCACACAGACACACGCACACACACACAGACACACACACACAGACACACACACACAGAGACGCACACACACACACAGACACACTGACGCCCAGACACACTTAGACTTAGACACGCACACACACACACACACACATAGGCACACGCACGCAGACTCACACAGAGACACACACACACACACGCGCGCAGACACACAGACACACCCACCCACCCACCCACCCACCCACCCACCCACCCAACCAACCGCCCGCCCGCCCGCCCGCCCGCCCCGCCCGCCCCGCCCCGCCCGCCCGCCCGCCCGCCCCGCCCGCCCGCCCGCCCGCCCACCCACCCACCCACCCACCCCCACAAGCACACAAGCACACGCGCGCACGCACACACACACACACACCCACACGCGCGCACACGCGCACACACACGTTCACACGTGCAGCTCAGAACACGTCTTTCTTTTCTTGGAACTTGACGGGACTGTCTTCAATCCTACAGGGGTTGCGACTGCCACTTTGGTTCTTGACCGTGGCTGCAGCAATATCGTGAGATTCCATTGTGGCTTCCTGTTTGGGCAGCTGCAGAATTGCTCCACATTCGTAGTTGGACACAGATGGCAAACCACGTGAACTCGATGTTGACCATTTGCACAGAGGCATTTGTCCATGAAAGAGTAGACATAATTATAGCCAGTCTTTAAAATGATGTCAGGAGTCAGAAGTGGCTTTCGTTTGTTGACGCTTCGGACAGAAATGAGCCAATTTTGGATCTTTGCTGAAGTTCCGCTGCTACTAGGAGCTGCCGAGTGCCACACTTATCCCTCGTGGTCAAGCCCAGGAACTGGATATTAACTTCCTTGAAACTGTCAAACCAATCTCCCATGCTTCCCACGGGTTGATTCTCAAGCCTCAATGCTTTCGAGGCTGGACGGGCACGCGGTTTTCGGCTCGCTGCCGCTGAGTGAGCGGCCCTACCACTGCCTTTGGGGCGACGGTGCTGAGCTGTCCGAGACCGAACTGGAGGAGCTCCGGGCCGTGTACGACGAGAGCACGGAGTACATCCGCCTCAGTCCAGGAGACGCAAACCGGCGGAATGGGAAAGGAGGGGCTGGTCGAATGTGCGAGGGGCAGATGTGTTGCTGGCCTGCCTAGTGAAGGCGCTTGTTGATTTCGGTTTCGCCTTCGAACCGGTAGCGGTAAACTGGTTCCTTTAACCATTCGCCTTTCCGAGTGCCTGCACAGACGCTGCCCAACACTAGATAGGAACTTGCAGAGAGTATTTGGACACTTCCTGTCCATGTGCGTTGTTTGACGGCCAGCTCAATAGCTTGGTCAACGTGCGATTTTGCATTCCATTTGTTCCGGGTCAGGTTGTTGATTGCTAAATATCTATTTTGGATTTGAGGCTTGTGTCTTTGAACAAGTTCAGTCCGGCAAATGTTCAACAAGATTCTACCTGCAAGACATGTTCTTCTTCACGCGCCTCGTGGATGAGAGCAGCTGCGCATGTGACGCAATAAGGAGAGTCCCATCCTTGTCCCATGTCCGGCCTTGTGCAGCTGTTGAGTTTTGGAGGCGATCCTTGAGGGCGACTCGCAACTCTCACTTTCAGTCACGCCAAGCGGAAGCTAGTGATTGCATTTACAGGGTTGGGAGATGAAGAGACTCGCTCATTGGAGAACCTGGTCAACCAGGTTGCAAGCATGACCGGTTTTGCTCTGAGCCTAGGTTCTTGTTCTTGACAACCTGCGAGTGGTGCATGGGCGCACCCCCTACAGCGGCAGCAGATTGCTGGGGCTGCTGCTCTCCGACATGGTGCCGCGCGACCCCTGTCGGCCACCGCCAGCTTTTGCAGAACTCTTGGAGTAGAGCGAAAAAGCTGCTTGCACTGCTTGCCTGCCATTGACAGGGGGATGTTTGACACCGAAGCACCAACATTCTTCAACGTCATTTTTGAGGCGTGCATAAAGAGTCGCCATGTATCCTGGAATGTGGAAAGCTGATCAAGTAACGGCCAGACGTCGGGTCCCCTTCTACCCTGCCAGGTGATCCCTCGTGAAGGGAATTCAGAAGGGACATCACACGTTTTGAGGGGTCCTTTTGTATGCCATGCCGTTGCTTGCTTCCACATCTTTCAGCACGACCCTTCAACGGACACAGAAGTGACGGGTCTTGGACCTCATTTCTGATTCTCCAAGCCACCGTACCAAGACAACTTGACTATTGTGGGAGAACCCCATTTGACCGGGTGCACAACATGAGAGCAACAGGGCATCAAAAACACATACGTTTGCATGGACTCCATGTCAACCTGCCCAGTACTTGGCGGAGGTTCGATGTTCTGCCCAGGCCCATTTGAGCGATTCCACGCGAACAACGCGCAATCACTGGCGGGGAAAAGGCATGGGGGAGACATGGTGTGCAGGGGAAGCGGATGGTGGATTTGTCAGGGTTTGAGGGGATGAGATTTCAGGCCATTGTTCAACAGGATGGCAGATGACAAAAACGGGGTTGGGATCAAATCCCCCGAGGGCGAGGGTGAGCAGTTGCGAGAGTTGAACAAGTTTTGGGGACTTACGAGGATCCTGCTGAGTGGGCGTGAGACTTGCTTGCGCCATGGGCAGATTTTGTTCACTGACCGCTTCCAATGGATATCAAAGTCAGAATCTGGCATCCTTCCCCATGCCCCGATCCCGTTAGTTGACTTCAAGCCAGAATGTGAAATCATGGGGCTACTGCGCAAGGGAATGAATGGCAGCTGAGCAAGACGTTAGATTCGCACACTTGCTGGAGTACACCTTTCCGGCCTGGGCGGGGTTCCTGGATATGAACGCAAATTCCCGAGTGGGTTTGTCGCTTTTGTGAGGGGTTACCCCTTTTTTGTGGACACACAAGGAAAACACAAGGAAGACCACCATTTTGGGGACCCCTCGAAAAAGGCATGCCCAACTCAATCATTTTGTCACTTTGACTGGCGCCGCCGCGGCTCAAGCCTTACGCTTCATCCGATAGTGAAGAACTAACGGGTCTTGTCTGCCACTGCGTGGCAAACAGGCCCACGTCTTACCAGTACATCGTTGCGCCCAGGTGCGCCAAGGCGAGGAAACGGTATGAACGGGGGGAACGGAACTCCCGCGTCAGGTTGCGAGGTTGGATTGGGTGGCCGAAAGCTATTCAGCGTCAAGAGAGCAAGCCATGTTTCCGATCGAACAACTTTTCCAATCAGTGTTTTTGGCGACCTTGTTGTCCGTTTCATGCAGATTGCCTGTGTAGGAGGCCAACACGAGGGCAGTAATCTGACCTGCAAGAGCCGACACAAGGGAGCAGATGCGAGGTTGCAGATTCCCAGCATCGGCATTTGTCGACATTGTTTACACTTTAGAGACATCGGCGGTTTGATGTCACACTGGTGAACATTTTTGCAGGATCCAGCTTTTTGCCTTGACACGGGCAGCTTCGCTGAACCTATCCGTGATCATGGCTGGATTTGGAGACGGAGACTGGGCCAATACTTGCTCGCGAGTGAGCTTATGCTTATTTTTGTATATATATGTATATATATATATATTCATAACTTGTACAACAAACATATTCTGTAGAGGCTGTTGGCTGCTGGCGTATTTTTGTAAAAATATATATTCACAACTTGTACAACAAAACATATTCTGTAGAGGCTGTTGGCTGCTGGCTTATTTTTGTAACTTTATTCATAACTTGTACACGCATTATTCTGTAGAGGCTGCTGCCTGCTGCCGCCGCTGCGTGCTTGACAAATGCAACGCAATTGCGATTTTACAAATCCACTCCACCTAAAACAGTAATAGTTGTGATTGACAAATCCAGTCCAGTTAATCATGGTCAAAGTTGTCATCTCACAAATCCAATCCAGTCAAACAAGGGTAAAGTTTCGACGGTTGGTCACAGTTGTGATTTGATGCATTTCAGACAAGCATGAAGGACTACTTGGGGTTAGCCCTGGGGGCTCGCGCCCAGGTTGAGCCTGAATCACATATTTTGCCTGACCGTTCCCAGTGTCCACTGCGGTCGGCGGGGAAAAGGGCTTCCAAGATTGGCGAAAGACACGGAACTAGTCCAGCCTGAATGCAGAGCAACGCTTGGCCTGCCGCAACGCGGACTTGGAGGTGGCCAGAAGTCAGGCAACCGGCCCCACTGCTGGTGTTTCAGCAGCTTGGCGATTCAATCGTGTTGGAGGAAGGGATCTCACACACGCAAACCATTGCAGCTATCAGGATGCATGTTTGGACTCCAGACGGACTTTAGACAGGCCCGCTACCTGCAACATGCAATCATAAGACTCTTGAAGGGTCCATATCCAGTCTGACGGAGCTTTCCTGGGAATGGACCTGCTTCGCTAGGCTTGCCATGGGCGTCTCTTCCTCCAACAGCTGCCACACCCGGTGCTTGAAGGGGGATAGCTGCCCGGCTAATCAGTTTGCTCTGACTTTGCTACCAGGTAGGTATGCGTATGCCGGTTACTGCCAGACCATGATTGCGTTGGTCATTGTTTTGGGGGATCATCCCTGTAACCCCTTGTTTAAGAAGCTAGGTGGTTGTGATGTTGAGCGGTGAGCAGTGCGGAGCCTTTAATGTTCAGTGTCTCTCATTGTTCAGAAATCAGGGGCTTTTCCACACCGAATCACGCCTCTTTCAAATCTCTGGGAGCCAATCAGGAGGAACAACATCTAATCTAAACGTATTCAGCCATTTGCAAGTTTATGTGGAGGAAGCACAAAGCGGTGTGACCGCATTCTGGTTCAAACGGGCATCGTTTTGAAGCTTGCTTGGTGTGGCATATGTTTCTGTCCATTCCCTGAATTGACTGCAATATTTGGCCATGGGTCAAAAGTTCGTACTTCCAGTGACCATCCCAATCACCACCAAAAAAGACTCAAATGGGTGGTACCCCAAAATGTTACCCTTGGTTTTGACTCACAGCCATATGCGTTTTTAACAGGGTTCGCCGATGTTTCTCACGTGGGTGTTGACCTTGAACAACCCCTCCCCCCCCTCCCCCGCCCGGAAGGCCTTCGATTTCCACGGGGCTTGAGCATTGGGTCAGATACAAGGAATGAGCATTGAACCCAATACAGTCTAGCGCGAGTTTTGTTGCTCTGAGCGAACACATGAGAATGCAACCAACAAGAATTGCGAAAGCGGCTGCAAAAGGCCTCTTTTGAGATAGGCTGACAAGCAAGCTTGGACCTTTGCAACCAGCAGCATCTGAATAGTTGGTTTTCTTCTTGCCATGAATCTGAAACTATTCTGGGTCATGCTTGATCCATACAAGAGTCACAAAGGCAACCACGCAGGCAACCACGCAGGCACGCACGCCCACCCGCACGTGTGCAGCGCTCGTCCGCACGCCCGCACACCCGCGCCACAGACGCACACACCCACACATGCGCCATGCGCCATGCGTGCACTCGCACACGCTCACTCGCGCACGCACACGCACACACACACACACATCTGTCAAGGCAAGATGCTCAGGCTTGATCAAGCAGGTTTCAGGTTTTGTTTGCAGGCCCGAGTAACTGGAGTTACTTGAGGGACAGAAGTGTGGCTCCCAGCTTGACGCCATGAAGGTTCAAGCGCAAGTATACACAGACATGAGCACACACACACATATATATATATATATATGGCAGTGATTGATTTTGCGGGTTCTGCAACAGAGCCGCGCCGGACATTCGTTACAGACCTCGTTACAGACCTCTGTAACAAGACCCGCTGGCTCGTTACACACCCCTCGTTACAGACTTCGTTACGCACCTCAGGTAAACAAACCGCTTGGCTGGTTGCATGCCCCTCGTTACATACCCCAATGCATGCCTAGACTCTCAGTTGTTTTCCATTGGTGCTTGCAGAGCAGATTTTGCTGAGCATGCTTTTGCTGAAGAGACAACTTGCAGAGAGCTTGCCACTCAGATGAAGAGTTGGAGCAGGGGCCGCAATACCTCGGAGGCGCGCTTTGCGCACTGCGCTTTGCTTTGCCTCGTTTCGGACCTCGTTACATAGCCGTTACATACCTCGTTACAGACCCAACCCCAGCCTGGGCTTGCGTTTTTGCCCAGCTTGGCTTGCGCTGAATAGCTGCAGTCAAGCTGGAGTGGCGGGGGGGCGCTGCTTTGCTTTGCCTCGGTACAGACCTCGCTACATAGCCGTTACATACCCTGTGGCAGACGCAACCCCAGCCCAGGCCCGCGACCCGTAACAAGATGTATGCGCGTCGCGCGTTACATACCCTCAAATAATTTCATGGCCATATATGTATACATTTTTTATACCATGATCAATGATACCACTCAACGTACGTGTGCCTGTGAGTTGTTGCTGTCTCAGGTTATTGCTGCAGCGACCGCAGCAGTGCACGGAGGCTAGATGAAATTTCTATTGAGCGACTCCGGGTGGCGTGGCTGACGCTGTTGCAACAATCATTGGATGGTCGCGTGTGATTCGCAGCGAATCTTCGTGCGGCGGCTTTACTTTTGGCAAGTTGCAGGCGAACGGCAAGCGTTGCTTGGGCCAGTGTGACAAGAAACAGACTTCAGTCGAATGGCATGCATTTTGGTTCAAGATCAATGGTCCCCCATTCCTTTTTATTTTTGCAGGGTGGTTCCGCTTTCCATGCAGCAAAATGGATCAGACACCGCCGGCCAGGCAGAGTCGCGCGCTCAGTACCTGCTACGTGGACTTCCACAAGCCAGTGCGCCCATCCGGCTGTCTGACCTTGCGAAACGAGGGACTGGTGTTGGGCATTCCCAAAAGGGCACGTGAGATCTAGTCATTGAAAACGGGGGTCCTGTTTGTGACTCATACCCTGTCGGATTAAGAGTTGGATCCACGATTGAAGGACATTCTTGCAGGACACAAATGGCAGCTTTGAAGTGTTGGCAGTTGGCATTCTTATTTTGCGTTGGCACTTTGAGGAGGACAAATAATATGTTTTATGCATCCCATTTTCCATTGCCCCCCTTTGCAACGGGAACAGTGCATCCGGACATCACGGTACGTGCTTGCAGGGACGGCAATCACAGGGGATGGTCGAATTTGGCATTTGGTTTGTGGGTTGAAGGATCTGGAACTGTTTGAAGCACAGACTCCCCCCCCCAGACAGTTGAGGGTTTTCTGCGAAGGTGCAAGTGGTGGTGTGGCTTCAGCTTATGGCTATACTTCTTGCATTCCTAGCTTGAGCCACCTGCCGCAGCAGTCCTTGAGTTGTAATCTTCCTGGCGTTTTTTCTCAAGTGCAGCACTCAAGCTAGTCTGACTGGTGTTTGATTCACATTCACGCATTGGTTCCTTGACGTTCTCTGGAGCTTGGTTCGTCGTTCAGGCCGAAGCCACCCAGCAAGGAGGCGCCCAGGCGCGGCCTCTCTCCGAGTCTCCGAGGCGTCACGTTACCGGATCTCGTTGGATTTTGGATCGGGTCCAACGCTTTTGAGACGGGGATGCTGGGAAAAAATCTGAGAAATCGCATTGGTCACTGGGAAATCTGATGCCTTCTTTGAGGGCGTAACTACGTAAGGCCTGAATGGTCCGAGTGAGTGATCTCACTCGCAGGCGGCGATGTGCTGCAATAAGGCCAACGGCGAACGGCAACGTGATACGCACCACAGTTTGCAAAAGTCCAGTTTTTGACAACACGTCACTCAGAACGCAATTGTGTCTGGCAATCAGGGTGCTTACGGCGTTGGAAGCTGCTCCTGCATTGGCTAGAACGAGTGCCCAAACATGTGTGCAACTCTTCCATGGCCCATTTGAGCAACCCAGGTCAAGAACAGGCCAGGATACTTTGATCACTTTGCCAAATGACACACCAGACTACACTTTCAAAGCCCGCCACATTCTGATTGAATGATATGCTTTGTTGATGTCCCCCTGCCTCGTGCTTGGCAGCACTGGCGCACTGGCGCCCACTGGCTTAACACTTTTACAGTCCGGCGATGGATCATATTGCTTTCATGTAGAGAAAACACATCAAGACCATCCAACACTACTACCTTGCGGCCTTTTCTTTTGCAGCGCTTTCACGGCCTTTTTTGCTGGTGTCCGCGTGTCCTTCTTTGAGCCCATGAGGCGCGCCTATTTCGACTGGTTCCGGCCGTTGGCAATGGAGCTGGATGCAGGCAGTGGGAAGCGGGTGGCGAGCTGGGGCAGGATATGCACGAAACGAGAGTTGACCGGGGTACTGCTAGCCATGTTGTCACATGACGGAGGAGGAATTCAGTAAGCAATGCCGTTGCTGGCCCTTTCAATCGAGAGTTTGCTTTTTACTTGATACATCGATACTTGTACTTTTGAAGTGCTGCTCCGATCATTCGGAGCTGGGAGAACCCTCAATCAGGTTGGCGATGTGCCGTAGTCATTGAGGGTTGTCCTGTTCCAAATGCGACTCCCAGCATGCCCGGATCCCTTTGGTTCGGGCGGCCACTTTGGACGTATTTTGAAGCCATGCTGTTTCTGGAATCACCAATGCGCAAAAAAGAACGCCTGGTTTATTCAATAGCCGTCAGGCATGTTCTTTTCAGTCTTTGCGTGTGGAGAAGTTCTTTCACTCTCAACCAGCAAACAGTTAGCTGCGGCATGTCCGGTTGGGATGTGTGTGTTGGTGGCCGCTGGCGGGGCGGGCGGCCAGGCGGACGGGCGGGTTGTTTGTCTCTTTCTGTCTCTCTCTGTTTTCAAGAAAGGATTGTCTACAAGCTCGCTCACTCCTGCAAGTGTTTGTGTGCACATAGACAGGAGAGGTCCGGACTTCTCCTTTCAATTTCATGAATGCTTCGAGCGCGTCAGATTGTTGTGGCACCAGCAGCATTTGGGCAATCTCCCTTTGAATTCCATGCTTATGCTCGCATGTTTCGGGGCCTAGCTCTTTGTGTTACGACGTCACCTGCGACAGCAAGCACCTGTCAGCTTTCGACCGCACGTTGCGCGCAAGGCTGCTGAAGGCACATGGCTTCATTCCGGAAACCAAAAGGACACCAATGGCCCCCTCCCCAATTTCGATGGCAAGCGGACTGATTTGTTTTGCTCCGCGCAAAGGTCCAGCACTGGCCCGGAGTCAGCACCTGAGAGGAAGGTGTGAATGGTGTGTTTTGTTTTTTTGTGGCTCTCCTTTTGGTCTCCCTTTAAAACCAGCCAAAAAGGGGGTCCTCTAAAGACACACCTTTGCCGCGTTTGGGTTGGAACCTGCCCGTTTGCTGGGATGGATTGCTTGACTTGTTTTTGTCGCAGGCATCTGTGGCTTCAAAGAAATCAAGCTATGTGCGGTGTCACGGTTGCTAGGCAAGGGCACATGTGACTCTAAAAAGGGCAGGCGCGCGTGCGAGTTGCGCAAGTTGGATTGCAAGGTGCCATTGGACAGATCCTTTGTCAGTTGACTGCACTTGCCACGTGTGTGATTGGTTTGTTTGTGTGTGTGTGTGTGTGTGTGTGTTTGTGTGTTGACTCGGTACAAATTTGTGAGCACTGCCCAGTGCGCTTCGCACGAGAGACATGCCAGTCAACAGAGGAGCCACCATGGCTAATTGGGGGCCTGTTCTCTGCAAAAACACACTGTGTGATTTTGCTAAAGCCCCTGTTGTCACCCGGGCACCATACCATTGTCAAGAGATTTCAACCTGGCGGTTGATTGGAAGTTCTACACAGTGTGGAACAGCGTACCTTCATACTTTGTGAGAGGGCAAACAGAACTCTGACAGTCTGATATTCAAAATGACACCTGCACTTGTATTGGCTTGAGTTGGACATCGGGTAGCAACACCCTGTCTTGCACCTTTCTCGACCTGCATTCTCTGAGGATTCAGTAGCAGTAGCATTCTTGTCAGAAGCATGGACAGCATTGTCGGTTTGCTTCAAGCCTGCGGAAGGAAGTCCGGTCTGGAATCCGGGCCTTTCGGGCGAGTCCAAAGTCTGGGCAACCTGGGATTGGGTTCAGCTGCGTCTAAAGCGGAGTCGTTTCAAAGCTCTAAGGGTACCTTCCATTTCCCTTCTGAACCCAGGGATCCTTCTTAGAAAGCCTCCGGATCCGGTTTTGAAAAGAAGGATGGTTGAAAAGAATGGTTGGAACGAGCCCCTAGAACACCCGCCTAAAGCGAAGGAGTCCCCCCACCACCCCACTCCCCCCCACCCTACCCCGACCCCGCCCTCACCCCCCAAACCGAGACTGAGGTGGTTGGGCAAGGACGTGAGCAGCAGCTTCAACGAAGTGGATTTCTACAATGAAGTGCTACACTTGCGGCGCCAGCAGCAGCAGGAGACGCCGAGGTGCTAGGGAATTCCTTGGGGTTGGGTGATGTTTTTGAGGGCTTCTCAGATTGGTTTAAAGGGTCACAATGGAAACTCCCGTTTTGCTGGGTCCCAGCAATTGCGACGCATGCCGTTTGTTCGCTCAACTTTTGACTGCATTTCCCACTCGAGCTTGCTGACAACCCGCTACCTTTCCGGGTGTGAGATCCGTCCTTTCTCCGAGAACATTCGTGGAGCAAGCAAGTCCCCTCTCCCCTAGCCTTCCAGTACCGCCCCATGGCTTCCCTAGAAAACCAGCCCTTAAGGACACAAGGCCTCAAGAGCCGGAGGGGCGGCCACGGTGACTCTCCCTCTTAACGGTGATAACTAGCAAATGCAACAGACCTTTCGGACCTTTGCGCGTGAAGCTCTTATTCGTTGGAATCGTGGCGTGCGGAGGACCCTCCGCTGCAGCCTGTGTTGCCCAAAGCGCTGGAGACTCAGCCGGGGGAAAGGGGCCGGGATTATGTTGAAGACTTGAATGAGCTTGGAGGACGCCGGTATCAGATAAAGTGCGAGAATAGAGCCTGGCATGTTAGGCGCCAAGTCCTAGGTATGGGAACATTCGCATATGGAGGCGCTTCTCTCCAGGCGGCAAATGTAGCTCATGATGACTGTTGTCCTTTGGGCTTGTGCTGGGCAACCACTTCAGAGAATGCGGCCCTGTCTGGCGGGAACAATAAAAGATGCGTGACACTCAGTGTTGCGCCTCCTTTTTGTAGGGTAATCTGCTTTGATTTCAGCTGATGGCCTTTACTTGGACATCCCTCCCACCAACAAACATGGAAGTGCCGAAAGCCCCTTTTCAAGAGCAAAGTAGTCTTTCTGCGGGGGTTGGTGCACCAAACCATGTTCGTCGGCGGGAGGGTACTAAGTAGTTGACGTAGACTTTGCGCAAGCAAACCACACTACCTTGGGCCGAAGCTCGGGTTCTGAACACAGAGAGGTGTTCAGATGGCATTTGGGTTTGGTGTCTTTATGGTTGGACCGTTTCCCTTTGGTGTCTCTTTGAAAGAACCCCAAAAAGGGTGCCATCAAACAGACAGAGACATGCCCATTTGATTGAGCCCGACTCTTCCATTTTTCCTGACTCTTTCTCATAGCCCATTAGGCTTAGGCTTCCTTCATGTCCCGAATCAGGCGTTGTGACCATTGCCTTTCGTTTCCCGCCACCGAGGAATCCTCACATAGCGCCAGAAGCCACCTCTAAAGTTTGTCTTGTGGGAGCCTCTGGTGAAGGGGCTACTCGATGTGAAATCATGTTGATATTTAGGTAAGGGCCAGGTTTGTTTGATTGCAGAATTGTGCTTCCCTTGGCTACGCACGGCTGGGCGCGACTGGATCTGACATTGGTCACAGGTGGAAGACCAAGACTCCCTGGATTTCTGATTGGACTCAAAGTATGTCCGAGGATGGCTGGTGAGGTACTCTCCTGTTGGCCAACTTGGGTGCTTGCATTTGAACGGAGGAACCATGGCCCCAGCTTGCAACTGGCTGAAAGTGCGCAGTCCGCTCCAACAGCAAACACAGCCCCGAACTCGGTGTCTCCCTGGCAGGGGGCAGAAAGACGAGACCTCAGATGCGTCAGGGAATGGGGGATCAGGGGAAAGCGCGGGCGCGCGCGCGCGCCCGCGCGTGCCTTGTCGCATTGCAAAGATCGCTTTGCATACGTTCTGGCCAGCCCATAATGTTTAATCTGCTAGAAATGGACGCCAATACATATTCAGCAGATCATGGCATGCCCATTTTGAGGCAGAGGCAAGACCACTCATGAACATCGTGCTTGGAGGCGGCCTATATCTTCAACTACGCGTTTTCTTGAGAAGGTACTTGTACGGATCTCCATAGATTCCATGCGCTCTCTGATCCTTCGCTAATTTTCTGTTTGGTTCCAGACTTTCGTGGCTTGCTTGCCTCAATTCAGTTCATCAGGTCACCCTTAGTTGGTGGTTTGGGATTTGAACCCCTGCTTCCAGTAAAATACTACATGAAAATTCGCTCCTTAAACCACCAATCCAAACCAATTGGAGGAAAGCGGTGTTAAGTAGACCACAACGAGTTCCACGGGGGGGAATAGGGGGGAATAGGGCGGGCGGCTCTCAGGTGGAGGAGGAGGAGGTGACCAGCCACTGGGGCATCATGGACTTCATGGTCAGCCCACAGCCTAGCGGCCTTGCGTTTCAGGGATCCAGGGAAGTCTGTGTCTATGACTGTGTCTGTGTCCGTGTTTGTGTGTGTTTGGCTCAAAGTTAAGCAGCTGGGGTTGCGCAGGTCTTAGAGATTTGGCTTCCATACACCAAGATGCCACTCTGGAGACACACCCATAGGGTAAGTGAGCTGAGACCACCTTAATCCCGCGGTGTCGTGTCCAGCTGGTGTTTGAGGTTCCAAAAGGGAAGGAGGGGATGGACATCAAAGGTCGGGGGTCCGAAGCATAGCCTTTGCCAGGAGAAATTCGCAGGAAATAAAGGCAATCTAAGACAAAACGTATGCTAGGTCCCCCAGTGGTGCCCTTTTATCAACTTTTTTTGGGGAGGGTTCCCCTACTAAAATAGACTACAGAAAAAAGGGTATTCTCTACTGGAGGACCTAGTATACTTGCTTTCTTGGCCATGCCAACCACGAAAGGTTTCGCGGGCATTCCATTGGGTGCGGCTCTATCTTTGCTCCAACCGCCGTGGCGCGAGCCTGATTGATCCGAAAGTTGGCCTTTTGTGAAACCCGGATCCAGGTGTTCGAATTTGATCTGGGTTTCTGGCAATTGGACGTGTTGGATGTTAGATGTTAGTTGCCTTAGTTGCTTCTTGCCCATCTCGATTAGATTGAGAACTGATGCCTGTGCAGTCTTCTATTGGCTTGCCGCATCATGATACCCTCCAGTTGGGCTGGAGCTACACTTCCAACATGGCGGATACTGAATTGGACAGCTTTCCGTAGTCTAGTCAAGGAATTGATGTGTTACGACGATCAGCAGACTGAAGTGAAGAAATGCGCTGCGTGTCTTGCTTCATGTTCCCCTTGCTTCAATGTCAGATATTTCGGGTTCTACGAAAGTCTTGTTTGCCATGGTTTCCGTACATGTTGTATTTCAACCAAGCAACCTGCGTTGCGAAAGGGGGGGGGGGTAACCATGTCCCCCTTTCTGCAACGCTTGGCTTAGCCAGTTTGAAGCTTCCAGAAGCGAAACTTGCGGTTCGCGTTACCAAGGTTATCATGGGCTTGCTCGATCATATCCCTGCTCCTGGACTGCGGACGGTCGTGAGTGCGGAGCCCAGTTGCGAGTGCCACGCAGCCGCGTGCGAGAGTTTGGCTCGAAGCTTTGGACCCAGAGTTTCAAGGTTTGAAGGTGGTTGGCCCTCTTTGACACGCAGGGTTGGGACTTGGTCTAAAATATTCTCGAGCAGCCACATGGTGCATGTACTTTAGTTGAGGGTTGATTGGATGGTCGACCATTCAGCCAATGGGTGTAGGGCAGAAGATCAGGATGTGGGATAGTCCGCACCTGACAGCGGGAACTGTCCGCCCGCACGGAAACATGAGCGACGTAGACTTGTGAAGTGTGGAAGTCCCAGTCAACAGCTGCATCCGCACACCAGGAAAGGAAGTACACCTTCTTTTCAGTAGGTTGATCGTGTTAGGTCCGCTGTTTCCCTTACCCGAGGGTACCCAAAGGGGCAGGCCCAAAAAATATCATCTAAGCATCTAAGATTGCCGCACAAATGATCTCGGCCCGTCCGAAATGGATAGTTTTGGTCAACTTTTCCCGGTTTTGGCCAACTTTTTGTGCGCTCCAATCAGTGTTCACTTAATTCGAACATTTGCGGGTCCAAAACAAAAAAAACCAGGGGGTCAAAAAAAAACCCAGGGGGTCCAAAAAAGCATAAAAACCAGGGGGTCCAAAAAAAAGAGCAAACACCAGGAATTCCCAAAAAAACCACAAAAACCAGGGAGCGAGTGGTTCGCTTTGTGTTTGGGCGCTTCGCGTCTCCGGAGGCGCCAGCGCGTCACCGACCTCCTGGTTTTCCGGAGCCCCTTCGAGGGCCTCGCGCGCGGGAGCCCGGCGGAGTCGGAGGATCCTGTGAGGCGATGTTCTTCTCTTTTTTTTTTAAAAAAATAACTTGTTAAAGGGGAACTGTAAGAGAAGCACTCCAAAATAGGGGCTTCACTTATTTTTGAGACACGTCCATTTAGATTCATTCCCAAATTGAGATGATTTTGGTGCCAAAGAAACCGCCATGAGTGGTGTGTCAGCGGGCGTCACGCAGTGATCAGACAATTGAAATGCTTTGAGATCCATGAAAGCCACCTTCAAGTTAGAAAGTACTTGAGGAGCATTGGATCAGTGAAGGTTTCAGCGCCCAGCTCCAAAATTCGCGCTGGAAGCAGTTCTGTTTGAAGCACCCCGTTATGTGAAGTTTGGACACGGGCACCCATGCGAGCCACAGTTGAAACAGCTGAAACTCAACGGATGGCCATGTTCTTTCCCGGCAAAAGGGGCATTGCGGTATACTGTTGTTGGACGTCCACTCCCCAAGCTTGGCGAGCATCTCTTCGAGGAGCCGCACACGTGGCGTGACTTTTGGCACAGAGATTGCCTGGCATGGCTGGACGCCCCGATGCATTGTAGGCTTCCTCACCCATTCTCTGAAGATAGCAGCTAATTCCATGAGCATCCCCGTTCCGGTTCCCATCAACTCCACACCAACATTAGATCAGTCCAAGGGAAAAGCTGAAGTTACCACTCTTTGGATGGATGGATGGAGGGAGTCTGAGAAGGGTTGGACAAGGGTTGAAAAAGGGTTGGAAGCATTGGACATGCATTGCAACAGAGTTGGAAAAGGCTTAGGAAAGGGCTGGGACTGGGCTGGACCTCTGGACGAAAAGAAGCTGAACTTGAGAGAATTGCATAGCTGTGGGACAATGATGGAAGTGACCCATCGCAATCTTGAATGAAGAACCATGCCGTTAGCTTTTGCTTTGTCTGACACATGGCCATGCCGGAGGGCGCATTTCCGGGGACGCCTTTCTGACCTTTGCTGTCAGTTGTCGGTATGCAACATGTACGACGGCCGCATGGCTGTCTACCCCAACTTGGGTGGGCTTCCCGCTTTATTGTGGGTACAAGCGTGGCTTCTGCAAGTCCCATGTCAGCTGCTACTCAGGATGAATAAATGCTGACCCTTGTATAAATGGCTTTTCTGGCTGGTTGATTGGAAGGCCCTTAGCCTGAGTACTGCGAAAGGCCCACTCCACGCACACCTCGCTTAAGGCGTCCACGCATGCTGCACCTGGAGTTGGGGCCGAGAAGCCTGGCAGGGACGCCCAGGGCGCAGCAATTTTGGATTGT